TTTTTTTCGTGTTTTTAACGAAACATCTTCTATAAATCCATTATTTTTTAATAATTTTTAAAAAAGTTCTTTAAAAATTTTTTAAATTCATTTCTTTAGGTATAATTCAATTTTACAAAATTTCAATTATTCGAAAATTCTTCAATTTAATATATATTAGAAAAAAAAACTTTAAATAATTTCAAAAGAAACCCGCAATTGAAGTTTCTTAAAAAAATTAATTCCACAGAATTGTTAGTAAAAAATATGAAAAATTTCAAATTTTCAATAATTTTAATCTCAAACCTTTTCAAAATTCAATTATTTCTAAAAATTTACATTCTAATGCTTTTAAAATTCAATTATAATATAAATTTTTAACTAAAATCCATTTTTAAAATTCTACTATAATTCAATTATTTAAATACAAAAGTAACAATTTATTGAATAATTGCATGTTTCTTAAAATTGAATTCTAAAAAAGAATTTTATCTATAAATTTTTAAATATAACTGAATTCTTTTGACAAATTTTAAGAATAATTGCATTTTTTCGAGGAATTCGATTAAAATTGTATTAAAATAATTGAAATTCTACAATGAGTTTTATTATTTATGAAAATAATTGAATTTCTGAAAAGAATTTTATTCTTTACGAAAATCATTGAATCTCTGTAAAAATTTTATTATTTATGAAAATAGTTGAATGATTGGGAAAAAATTTGTTAAAAAAATTTGTAAATAATGAAATTCCTGTGAAATTTTTATTATTTTTTGAAAATAATTAAAAGTTTGGGTAGAATTTTATTAAATTTTTTTTTAAATAATTATGAATTCTTTTGGAAAATTTAATGAAAATAGTAGATATTGAAAATCATTATGAATTCAGGACAATTTTTGAAAATAATTGAATTTCGGAGAAGAATTTTACAGGGTGGCTGCAAGATTGACTTTATCAATTTCCCTGACATTTCCCTGACATTATACTGACATAACAACGAATTTCCCTGACAAAAATTTTTTTGTTTAGAGCAAAAAATTTATTGCATGACCGTCTTAATTTCTTTAATTGCGCTGACAAAAAAATTTTCCTGACATTTCCCTGACTTTACTGACAAAAAATTTTTTTTCCTGACATTTCCCTTCTTCTTTAATTGCCCTGACAAAAAAATTTTTCCTGACATTTCCCTGACTTGACTGACAAAAAATTTTTTTCCTGACATTTCCCTGACTTTACTGACAAAATATTTTTTTCCCTGACATTTCCCTGACTTTACTGACTTTACTGACATGTGGCCACCCTAATTTTAATTGAAAATTTTCAAATTAATTGAATTTTATATGTACAATTTCTTTCAAGTTTTTACAATAATCGTGTTTCTTAATAATTCAAATTAAAAATTTAATTCTTGAATTTTATTTAAATTTTTAGAAAATAATTGAATTCTTTGGAAAAATTTCTTTAATTTATTAAATACAATCGAATTTTTTTAATGATTGTATTGAAAATAATTGATTTCCTAATAAAAATTTTATTATTTATGAAAAATAATTGAATTCTTACGATGAATTTGACTACTTTTAAAAATAATTGAATTGTTTCGAAGGATTTATTACAATTTTAGAAAATAATTGAATTATTACGAAAAATGTTATTAAAAATTTTTTAAAAAATTGAATTCTTTCATGAAATGTTATTAAAATTGTATTAGAAATAACTGAATTTTTAGGAAGAATTTTATTCAAATTTTTGAAAATAATTGAATTTCTAATAGTATTATTTGTAAAGATAATTGAAATTTTTATGAGAATTTTTAAAAAAAATTTTACCAAGATTGAATTTTTGCAAAGAATTTCATTACTTTTGAAAATAATTGAATTTTTTCAATATTTGGAACTTTTAAAAAATTCTCGAAATTATATCGTTAAATTTACGAACTTTTATTGCCTTTTCAATCAAATTACGGACTTTACGGACCTTTTTTTTTTTTTCTTTAAAAAACTGACTTTTACGGACTTTAAACAAAGTTACGGACTTTTACGGGATTCACGGACCTAGTTCGAGTCCTGAATTATAAATAATAATAAAAAAATTAGAAATAATTCTAAAAATTGAAAAACAATTTAAAAAGTGAAAAAGTAAGAAAAAAAAATGGAAAATAATTTTAAAAAATAAAAAAAACAATTTAAAAAATAAAAAAAGAAAAACAATTACATTTTTCAAAAAGAATAGAATATGTTCTCTGATCAATAATGAATGCCGAAGGCCACCCTTCTTGTGATGACGATATCAATCCCCCTGTATATATGCGAGAGTTCGCCTGGAATATTACACCGTCCTTTTTTTCCCTCGCATATACATATCCCTGTGAATGCACACACGTGTGAATATACATGAAGGTACGAGGAGAAAAAGAAAGAGAGAGAGACAAAGAGAGCAAGTGTTACGCACATGCGATATATGAAAGCCGCAATGCACACGCGGTGCACTTTGCAATGTCAGCGAACTTACGAACCATAAATCCCTTGACCTTGATCGTCAAAATGTATTTATGTATTCGTCTCAGAATATTCAGATGAGATTCTAAAAAGAAAGGAGGAAAATTTTGCTTTTGTAAATTAAAAGTAGAGAAAGCAAAATTTTTTGCCCCGGAAAAATATAGAGATAGAGAGGGGGGAGAGAGTATTTTACAAAATTCTAAGACTAAAAAAACTAAAAAGCTCGCTAAAAAAAGTTTTTTATATTTTAATATAGTTAATTTCATTTATTTTTAATTAATTCTATTTATTTGAAAATAATCCAAATTTTTTCTAGTTAATTGAAATTAATTTCTATTTTTTCCAGTTAATTTCAATTAATTTCAATTAATTCTATTTATTGGAAAATAATTCAAATTTTTTCTAGTCAACTGAAATCAATTTCAATTTTTTCTAGTTAATTGCAATAAATTTCAATTTTTTCTAGTTATAATTGAAAATAATTTCAATTTTTTCTAATTAATTGAAATCAATTCCAGTTAATTGCAATTAATTAAAATCAATTTTATGTAATTTTAATTAATTTCTATTAATTCTAGTTAATTTCAATTTTTTCTAGTTAATTGCAATCAATTTCAATTATTTCTAGTTAATTTGCAATGAATTTCAATTATTTCTAGTTAATTGCAATCAATTTCTATTATTTCTGGTTAATTGCAATCAATTTCAATTATTTCTAATTAATTGCAATCAATTTCAATTTTTTCTAGTTAATTGAAATTAATTCTAATTTTTTAACAGAAAGGGTGTGGTTTTTTTTCGCAATTTCACATTAGTCTTTAATTTAATAGTTATAGCGATTCAAGGAAAAAGAAAACCATAATGCAGTAATCATTTAGCGGTAAATAATATTCTAATGCAAAATTATACACAAGTGGGCGATCGTTGATCGTATATATATAAAAGTGGGTGACGATTTAGCACTCACATTAAATAAGTTAACAAAAGAAAAAAAAAAAGTTTGACAAAACTCATTTCTTAATCACAATTTAAACATTCGAGAAAATCGAAAAAATTCGTCTACGAATTTTGTGAATAAAAACAATCGAAAATGAAATCTCTGTAAATAAATAAAAAATAAATAAATAAAATTAGTTTCTCTAATTTTACTTTCCCGAGTCTTTTTCTCATTCTTTCTATTTAACCGGAGAAATGCTTTATTATAATAGAAAATCAGTTTCACAGTCCGTAACGATAATTATAATTTCGTTTATAAATTCAACTGCAATAATTAAATGAACTATGTAATTTACTTCCGCTTTTTCACAAGTTCAAAATCAACTTTCTTTACTGTCGATTAATTTCACAATTCCAGTAAGTTAATGAGAGTATTTCTTTAATTATTTTTACTGCTTTTTTAAATTTATTACTTAAAAGAAGAATTTATTACTGATTGCAAATAAAGAAATAAATGAAACTAATTGCTATTGAAGTAAACTGATATTAATTAGAGAAATAATAAAAATTAGTTTTATTAAGGTAACGCACCCATAAGAAAGGTACCCAAGAAGTAAAAAATTTGAGGATGTTAACAATTTTTGGCGAGTAAAAATACAAAAAGAGAATTAATTACTATTACAAATTATTGATGTTCAAGTCTTCATTACATCAAAAATATTCAATAAAAACTCGTTTTACATTTATATAATTGAAAAAGGAATTTTTTAACAAGGTAACTCTAATACGAACATAACCTATAATTCGTTTGCTGCTTAGGTAACTTTTTTGGGAGCACGTGACAAATAAATGAAAAATGATATTGAGAATAAAGATAAAAAGAAGAAAAATAATTTAATAAATAAGTTTTGCAAATAATTTTTGTTTATAAATAAATAAATAAATTAATAAAAATGAAAAGAATAAAAAGAATATTAATTATTATAAAAAGAAGATTAGAATTATTATAAAACGCAATAATTTGAAGTATTACGATGCTAATGAATTTTAATTATTATTATATATTTTTACAATTATATTTATAATTATATTATTATATTTATAATTATATAATACTTTTAATAAAATAATAATAATCAGGAATATTTCAATAATAATGAAAACAAAATTATTTTTCTACTGAAAAAAATTCACATTATTAAGGGTTAATTTAAATAAGTGTAACTTGTCATTTTTTAGCATTTAAGGGCAACGTACCGAGAGTTGATCGATATATGTATATGCACACTTAGTTGGAAAATATATCGTGCATTTAAACTTACACATTTTTTTCCATTAAAAAAAAATTCATTCAAATAAAATAAAACAATGTTTTCATTCAAAAAACTTGATAAATAGTTATAAATATTTTAAAAAATATTCACAGTATTCAAAAAATTTTTAAATAATATTAAAATTTTTTTAATTAATATACTAATATATATACTGTCAAATATTAGTATTATATTAATACAAAAAAAATTAATTTTTAAAAATAAAACATTTTTCTTACATTTTATCATAAAAAAAATTTTGCCAAAAACTTACCTCGTAATAAGAATTTTGATTTTGATTCCGCCAAGCGTTTAATTTTGTCGTCAATTCATCAGTTAGATGAACGTTTGTTGTTGCTAAATTCTGCTCATGACGAGGTTGAAAACTAAAAAAATTTAGAATTTAAAGATTTTAAAATTAAATTAAATTAAAAATTTTAAATTAATCAATTTTTTTAAATTTGCATTTATAATAAAATTGATTTATAAAAATTTAAATAAGAAAAAAATGTACATAAAACATTTTTTCATATAAATAATATGGAAGATATTTACCTGCTTCTATCACAAAATGTAACTGTTTCTGGTCCAATTCGATGATTTTGATCGCAATGTCGAAGAACACTATCGGAAACTAATTTTCCTGAAACAGAAAAAAAAATCGTTTCATAAGAACGAAATCGCAAATTTTTAAATAATTTTTATTTACTTTCATTATAAAAAATAATAATTATAATAATAATAATTTAATAACAATTTATTTTATACAGTAGAAAAAATTCAGAATAGAAGAAAAATAGTGTGAATACATATAATTAGTGGTAACTTTAATTAATGATGATACTTAATAATTTAATTAATTGTATTTATTAAATATTAATTCATTTTATTACATTATCATAATTTATTATTGATTGGATTTATTTTCATATTTTTATTTGCTTTTATTATTTATTTATTAATAGTTTTCGAATTATTTAATTTTTATCGCAAAATATTTGACACACGCGCGGGAATCGAACCCGAGACCTAACGCCCTGTAGATCTACACTCTAACCGCTTAGCCACGCTCACAAATTTTTTTTTAATTTTTATCTCAACGAATAATTTCAAGCGCAAAATTTTTATATTTATTATTGAATAAAAAGTATTTATGAATTATAAATATTTACAATTATAAATAATAATTATTCATAATTTTTGAAATTTGTTAAAAAATTTGTTTTATGGAAGTTAAAATTTGTTTAAAAAAATTATTAAATCGACTTTCTTGTTTTGTAAGACAGTTGATACTAAATAAATAAATTTATAACATTTTTTTAAATTTTTTATCTTCTATCTTTTAAGAAAGGGTATAAAAGAGAATTTACAGAAAAAAGTGACAGGGAAAAAAAGCATAAAAAATACAAGTTCTGCATTTAAATTTAGTTCATGCAACATTTTTTTGTAGAAAAAAAAAGAAAAGACAAGAAGACACATATAAAAATAATAATAATAATAATTCATATATGTACTTCTGGGGACTCGTAAAACTGAAATGTGGCTTTTAAGCCTAGGAGCATTTTTGACCAGAGTTTATCAAAGCATTAGCAGTAGCAGAAAGCTTCCAACTGCTTTTATATATGCATAAAACCAAAAGATGTGGAATGACTACTGCGCCTCGAAAATATAAATGCTGCAAGCTCAAAAGTTTAAAAACAGTTACCATATGAAATGATTGCGTTGAAATATACATACATACAGACACAGAGACACATATGCACAAAAGTAACAACAAATAGAAAAAAAAAAATTTTTTTTTCTACTTTTACCCTTTTCTCGCCTGTTCTTCACCAAGTGATTCAAACCGTCTCTCCATCTCTTTATATTATCCCTTTTTCTTTTGTCAACATTCTTTTTCCTCTGACATGCAAAACGAAATTTCAAGCAGCCAAAAAACATTTTCCAATTTCTCCTATATATACATATTTTTAATATTTTAAAATTAAAAAAATTTTTTTTTTATTGTTAACCGACTTAATATTATTTAGGGCTCGAACTAAGTCCGTAAATCCCGTAAAAGACCCTAAATTTGTTTAAAGACCGTAAAAGTCCGTTTTTATAAAAAAAAAAATCCGTAAAGTCCGTAATTTGACTGAAAAAGCAATAAAAGTTCGTAAATTTAACGATATAATTTGGAGAATTTTTGAAAAGTTCCAAATAATTAAAAAAATTCAATTATTTTCAAAAGTAATAAAATTCTTTGCAAAAGTTCAATCATGGTAGAAAATTTTTTAAAATTCTCATCAAAATTTCAATTATCTTTAGAAATAATACAATTATTCTCCGAAATTCAATTATTTTCAAAAATTTGAATAAAATTCTTCCCAAAAATTCAATTATTTCTAATACAATTTTAATAACATTTCATGAAAGAATTCAATTTTTAAAAAAAATTTTTTAAAAACATTTTTCGAAATGATTCAATTATTTTCTAAAATTGTAATAAATCTTTCGAAACAATTCAATTTTTTTTATAAGTAGTCAAATTCATCGTAAGAATTCAATTATTTTTCATAAATAATAAAATTTTTTTTATAAAGTCAATTATTTTCAATACAATCATTAAAAAAATTCAATTTTATTTAATAAATTAAAGAAATTTTTCAAAAAAATTCCATTATTTTCTAAATATTTTTAAAAAATTCCAGAATTAAATGTTTAATTTCAATTATTAAGAAACACGATTACTGTAAAAACTTGAAAGAAAATATAAAATTCAATTACTTTGAAAATTTTTAATTAAAATTATTAATGAAACTAAATTATTTTAAAGAGATTCAAAGAAATTCTTTAAAAGAATTTAATTAGGATTATTGATAAATTTTAATAAAATTATTTTTCCCGAAAATTCAATTATTTCCATAAATAATAAAATTCATTACAGAATTTTAATTATTTTTAATACAATTATTTTAATCAAATTCCTCGAAAAATTTAATTATTCTTAAAAATTTGTTGATAAAATTCTTTATGAGAATTCAGTTTAAAGAAACATTCAATTATTCAATAAGTTATTAATTTATGTATTTAAATAATTGAATTCTCGTTGAATTTTCTATTAAAAATTGATTTAAAATTGAATTTGAGTTAAAATTTTATAGAGAATAATTGAATATTAAAAGCATTATAGCCTAGAATTTTTAGAAATAATTGATTTCTGAAAAGGTTTAAAATTAAAATCTTTAAAAATTAAAATTTTAACTAAAAATTCTGTGAAAGTAATTTTTTTCAAAAGGTTTAATTGCATTTTTAAAAATTTTTTAAAGTTGTTATTTTCTAATATATATTTAATTAAAGAATTTTCGAATAATTGAAATTTCGTAAAATTGAATTGTAAACAAATGGATTCTTCAAAATTGTCAAAGAACTTTTTCGAAATATTATTAAAAATAATTGATTTAAAAAAGAATTTTAATTAAAAATTCTTGACAATAATATTTGAATTGAAGTGATGAAAATAATTTTGAAGAAATACAATATTCTTATAATATAAAATAATAATTTTATTAGTCGGTCATCTTTAATAAATTATTATAAAACATGAAAAAAGCCATTTATTCTTTATAATCGAATAAAATAAATTGTTTTACTTTGTTGTTATTATTATTATTATCATTATTATTATTAATGTTTTTATTAATTATTATAGTCTAAACTAAATATTTTATAAATATTATAAATATTTATTTTACAAATACAAACATAATAAAAATGTTTATTAATTGAAGTTACCACTCTGGTTTTGCAATATTAATTAATGAATAGGAAAATTTTAATTTTTCTAAATTTTATTCTCAATAATTTTTATTTTATTAACAAAAAGGAAGTTTAATAAATATTCTAAATTTATTTATTTCTATTTCTAAATATTTATTTAAAAAATTTCATTTCTACTATGTGTGTTGATAAATTAAAATATTTAATACTATACCTACATTTATTTATTTTGACGATTATTATTATTTTTTACGATTATAGAAATATTAAAAACAATACATAAACTTACGGAAAAATTCCATATCATTTATTACTGTCGATAGTAAAAATATTCGAATTTCAATAACATTTTTTTTTTTTTGAAAAAATTTTCGATCATGAGAAGTAGATAAGAATTTCTTTTCTATTTTCTGATATTATACGATATTATCAATTTTCCTCACTTATTCACGATTGAAACTAATAAAGTTTTTTCGGTTCCTGTTTGTCATATCAATTGCGTGAATTTACATTAAAAATAAACTTGAAATAAATTTATTTACAAAAGGAAAAAAAAATAATTCCATCTTGCCAAGAAAACAATGAATTTTTAGGTTCAGTTTAACTGACATGTTTTTCTTGTTCTTTTGTTTTTTTTTCTTCGCATTTTGCGTTTTGCGTGAAAATAATTCTTTGTTACTGCGTGGTTATTTTTTTCTTCTACTAATGGACAACAATTTTTTCAAAATTATCACTGAATGATAGTTTCAAATTGAAAAATAATAAATAAAATTAGTTCTTGTTAGAAAAAAAAATGAATAAAATAGATGAAAATAAAAATAAATAAAATAAAAAATTAAATTATTTATGGTTTAAAATACCATTAGTTCAACGTTAAAAGTACCAAAAAATAAAGCTACTTTAGATTTTAAAAACCGAAACTATTTTTGGTTTGAAAGTCGATTTTCGAAAATGCCAATAGTTAAAAATAATAATAGTCCAAATTATTATTAGATGCAACAACAGATGTTCAAAAATAGCCAAAGTCAAAGTCATTTTTGGTTCAAAAATTACCCAAAATCGAAGCCATTTTTGAACCAAAAATACCCAAAATCAAAGCTATTGTTAGTTTAAAAATATCAAAACTTAAAATACTTTTGGTTCAAAAATACCCAAAGTAAAAGCTATTGTTAGTTCAAAAATATCTAAACTTAAAGCTACTTTTGGATCAAAAATAAGGACCCAAAATCGAAGCCATTTTTGGTTCAAAAATACCCAAAATTAAAGCTACTTTTGGATCAAAAATACCCAAAATCGATGTCATTTTTGGTTCAGAAATACCCAAAGTCAAAGCTATCCAAACTTAAAGCTACTTTTGGTTCCAAAATACTATACAAATAATTAAAATCTCCAGTTGCTGCTTAAAATTTCGCCAATTCAAGAATACTCCTTGCCATTAATGAAAATGTTATCGGAATCTTAGTTCAATTATACTTTTTCCAAATTCCAAATTTTCCCTGGAATCCTTTTGTCTCGTGCACTTCATGCATCACTTCTTCCCGGCGAACATTACATGATTGCTGAATGCGCTCAAAGACTGGATCTGTCTCTGTCTTTTATTTTTTTTTTTTTTTGACTTGATTTAACTATCGTCGTGTTTCGGACAAGCGAAATGCTAAGTCTGGCTAAGTCTACTTGTACTGTACTGTATACCGAGAGAAGACGAGATTTGCTTTTTGGAACATTGCCACCGCGATGCCAAACTCAAGAAATCTAAGTGTAGAATAAAGCAGAAAAGAGCGTAAATAAATGGGGGTTAATCTCAAAACAAGAAGTAGCAGAAGAAGAGGAATGATGTACGTTGGGATTACAGATGGATTCAAGGTATATACATCATCTGTGTTGAAACTGAAATTGATTTCATTACTTATATACGTTGCGTCATTGACATATTAATGGGACATGGGATTATACTTGCGGATAATGCATAACAGTGGTTGCAAAAAATTGCTTCTGTTGCTTCTTGTTTTGTTTTCTTTTGGTTTATTTTGATTCTGCTACTACTACTGCTGCTGCTGTTGCTACTAATACTTCTTTTCGTCATCCCTCTTCTGCTTTTTCTGTTTTCTTAATTTTTTTTCCTTCTTTTCGTTTTTCATTTATAGCAAGAATTATAGAATCAGTGTTACGCATTCTGGAGGTAAATCCTTTTTCTTTTCCTTTTTCATTTGAAGCAAAATTTATAGCATCAGTGTTACAAAATCTGTAGGTAAATCCTTTTTCATCTAAAGCAACATTGTTACAAAATCTGAAGGTATTGATGTTGGCTTTTCCTCAAGTTGATCATCAGCATCTTCAAATCTGTCTCCAAATTTAACTAGACAAACGAATACGAAAGTCTCCAAAATTGTTTAAATAAAAGAAGAGTAATCCGTTATTTAGATAAACGTTTAATAGTCATTTCATCACGTAAACGATTTTTGGGCTCAGAAATTTTCAGCAACAACTAATTTCTGTTGGTACTGTTAAATATTCCCTAGTCAAATTTTTTCTTCACCTAAAATCATCCGATAACCACTGCATTTAGTACCAATCAAACCGATTTTTAATTTTCGTGCCAACACCAATTCTCATCTAATTTTTACTCTAATTTTTAGTGCTGTACGTCGAGCAAAGAGAACAAAAAACAAAATTACTTGGAAATTGGCAGTCACTACTTTTAATAACATCAGTAATTAATTAATGAAACCAATTAGTAATCCCTTGTTACTTTTCATTATTATATTGTCATTGCTAATCTGTAACCTGAAATCCAAAACCAACAAACGAGATTCGAAATAGGAAAACAATTATAAAATTGGCATTCGCATCGTTCTGAATTTGTGGCGCGAGACGAGAATAAATATTCTTCCGGAACGAGATCTCGCTGAGAAATGCTCTTCAATTGAGTGAATGAGGTCGCATATGTAACATCTTTTCGAATTATCTACGAATCACAAACTAAGATCACAACCATTTTCTTCCTACCAAACTCATCATTTGCTTTCGTCAAAAAAATTACATCTTCCAAAAAGCGAGAAATCAAATGCTACAAATTTAAATACAATTCATCTAAATCCAATGGAGTTTGGACATTTTTGATTTGGGAAATTCTAGACTAAAATTACCTCGAAGGTTATAATTTGGGACCCGTCAAGAATTATTTGGTTCATTTTCTATAAATGCTGCGCTTAAATTTTTCCGCTTGATTTTATATTCGGAAACACATTTAGTCGAAAATAATGAACATAATGATAATGATGATAAACCAGTAGCAATTTTGTCAAAATTACCTCAAAATTCCAACCATTATGGAATCCGATTTTGTCAAAACTGCTGCAGGTACAGATACTACATTGACTAAAATTGTACTAATTTTTAAATTCCGTTAATTGTAAAATTGTACTTGTAAAGTAGTACAAAAAGCACAAGCACCAGCTTACTCTGCCGAATACGAGAACGAAACTTAAGGACTAAAGATATTAAATTCCTTAAAATGGAAAAATATCGGATATCGAATCCGTCATGCATCGTATATTAACAACTATAATGTATAATTGTATCCTTCTTGACATATAAAATAACAGATTCAATGTCAGCCAAGAGAGAAAGATGGGAAAAAATAAATGAATTTCTTTATAAAACTACAAATATATAAATGTAGTTCTAAAAATTCTATTTCACAATAGAAGATAGAACAAGAACTTTGTGGAATCAATCTCACGCACTGCTTTCACAAAGCATTTAAATCAAATTAGCAGCTTTCAATTATAACCCGTATTTTATTTCCGCTCTCTTCAAATTCACTGACCACGAAAAGAGCGCTTGAAATTTGTTACCTAATTAGTCTTTAACAGTTCGCTTACTCTCTGAAACTTTAGTAGAGACAAAAATTTCAAATTTTCAACACAGAGAAAATAATAGATCTTTCTATTCTATATATTTAATTTAATTAGAGAGTATACTGTGTTTGGGTTTTAGATATTTCCTATCAGGTGCTTTCGTTTACAAAAAAAAACTCTGGGTAAGCATAAGATTTAGTAATTTTGTTTTTATTTAACAAAAAGAAAAATTTATTTCAATTCAGAGTCGAATTCTTTTTTTTAAAAAAGGCTTTTTTCCGAAAAGGTTTATTACTTAAAAACTGTTTAAAATTTATCTCTGAATTATAAAGTAACTTTTTCTTCAAAAAAGAAAATGGCCCCGAAGTTTAATTTTATTAGAAAATGGCACTTTTTAGGAAAAAAGGATTAATTTCCAAAGAGCCGGAGTACTATGGGAATCTATTTCAAGAGATAAATATCTCTTAGTTAGAAAATAATGTTATTTTGAGTAAAGAAAATGGTTTTGAAGCCTAATTTCATCTAAATTATTAATTTAGTTAGAAAATGGCACTTTTTGGATAAAAAGTGCATATTTATTTATTTTAGTTTTTTAATTATAGTTATATTCGCAATAAACTCACCTTTCTCGTAATGATTCTGTATTAGCGAAAGATTATGATTCAAATCAGTGGGATTGACATTCTCAAAAAGATCCGATGAAAGTTGTCGACGCAAAAGAATTGTTTCATGTGTTAGCTCTCGAACTTGAACGAGTAGTTCTTCGTAGCTCGATACCGGGAGAGTCATTGCTGAATTTCCAATCGTTATTTACCTCCCCTCTGACACTTAATTTTTCTCGACACTCCATTCGACTTTGGTTCTGCAAAAAGAAATACAAAAAAATTCAAATATTAATCATAAAAAAAAATTTCTCTCAGAAAATTTTGAATTTCTGTTTTTAAAAATTTTCTAAATCTGCACTTTCGAAAAAATGCCATATATTAGGGAATTCAGCGAAAATTCAGGGATTATTATTAAAAGTACTGTAAAAAATTAAATTTTTAGAATTCATAAGAAAATTCTGAATTTTGGTGACTATTTTGTTTGCCTCATAAACTATAAAATTACCACAAATTCTAATACAAAACCTTTATTTTTTTTTATTTCTGACAAAAACTTCTTCAAAATTCAAATTTTTTCTAGTGTTTTTAACTAAAATTCCTTGATAAATTCATTATTTTCAATAATTTATTAAATACGTATAAATTAAAAAATTTAACTAATTTCAGAATTATTTAAATTTTGAAAACTTTTGCAAAAATTTTAATTCTTCAGAATTTCTAATAAAATTCATTCAAAATTGAAATTTTATAAAATTTTAAATTAAAATCTTTTCAAATTCATCTATTTATGAAAATTGTAAACGAAACTATTTGAAAATTCAATTAATTTTGAAATGAATAAATAATATTTTATTTATTATTCATTAAATTAATTCATAAAATTAATTGAATTTTGAAATGTATAAATAAAATTATATTTATTATTCATTAAAAAATAATTTCTAAGTAATAATTTTATGATAGTTCTTCAAGAATTAAGTTATTTAAATAGAAATATTATTGTCAGAAATGGAAAAATTGAAGGTTTTGTATTAGAATTTTTGTTTTTTTTTTAGAAAAAAACTATTAATAATAATATTTCAATTATTTGAATGTTAATTAATTCTTTTTCTAGAGGTCTGCATTCTGTTGAATGAACCTCCTTATAATTTCTATTCTATAACATTGAGTCTAAATTTTATGATTACACTTTGAAAAAGATTTCAAAAACAGGAAAATTTTATTTTTTTATTAAAAATAGATGAAAAAGGTGGACAAATTAGCAGAAAAAGGGATAAAGGTGTCAAAAATCCTCAAAAAAAAGGTGAAAAATGTGATAAAATTGAAATAAGGGGTAAAAGGGGACCAACTGTGATGCCTGATATATAAAAAATTAGTATGAATAAAAGTTATAAAAAATAGTTATAATTTGTTTATTTCTTTTATTTTTATGTTTTTTCATGTTCAATAAATTCAAGACTAAAAGAAACAATATTTCATCTCTGAAAATCAATTGGATTTTTCAAAAACTAATTTCACTTTTTTCTATAGGGGAAGTCAATATTTATTGGTTATATATTTATATAAATGTGAATGTGTGTTGGTGTTTGGAAGATGGAGAGAGAAAAAGGATTTATATTATCAAGGAGAAACAGTTGTGTGTACATTGGGATTGGAACTTTTATGGTAGTTGCATATAGTGTGTCGGGTTTCTTTAAAAGGACTTGTTCACCCTTTTCTGTACTTTTCTTGAACTTATCCGACCCAAGAGCACACGTACGGTCATGACACGTGAATTGCACACTCATACAACATAATATTGGGTTCTATATTGATTGTCACGCATGGCTGTGTATATGTTCGTCGGAAAACATAGAGAAGAAAAGGTATATAAAAGCCAAGACAAAAGGTGAGGTTTATAGGAGAGGCAAGTAACATCTCCTTTTTTTCATTTTTCTCTCTTTTTCTATCGTACATAACACAAAAAAAAACTTTTCATTATATACTTCATTTTTATTAATTTCTTAATTAAATTGTCCCTTTCCTTTTTTACGATCAATGAGAACGCAGTGCTGCCAGTAGATGATTAAAACGACAAATCTTCAAAACTTTTCTTATTTATCTTCAGAAATCTTTAAACTAATCAAACAAATTTCTTCAGATTTTGGTTATAATTTTTTCTAAAATATGATAAATTAAATTAAATTTTACAAACAATTTTAAAGAAATAAATTAATATTGTTGGGTCTAAACCAAATTTTGCTTTAGTCTAATGGTTAGAGCTGCCAACTCGCAATCGAAATTCTCGGGTTCGATTCTTCCCGAAGGTAAATGAAATTTTTTTCGTAGACAAAAAATCAAAAATAATAAATAATTTATCCCAGAGACACAAAATATGGAAAAAATATAAATTTAATAAATATTCTAATAACTTTTATAATAAACATAACTTTTCTATATATAATAAATAATAAACAAACACAAAAATAACAATATTATAAAAGAAAATATTTTAAAAGAAAAAACTTATAAATTTGTTTTCCAATTTTAGCAATGTAGGAAGTAATATAATTTTCTATAAATTATGCATAAAAAAATTATTATTAATTTATTTTCCATTTCCTCAAAAAAAGACTTCGGCATTTTTTTTTTTATTATTTTTTTCCACACGAAGAAGGTGTCATGACTGATTAATTTTTGTCGTATGCCAAAGAAGGAGCGACCTTGATAGGAATGTCGACCGGTTTTCATGTGTGCCATAAAAGTGAAGATCAAACATATTATCCTTCCGTCGTCAAAAAAAAAAAAAAAAAATAGAAAGAAAAAAAATTCGTTCGTCTCACGGTGAACTTCCTAAAATCCCTTTTACAATGCAACATTCATAAAAGGAAATATTGAAACGCAGTTTGTTTGAGACGTAAAATATTTTATATGTAATTATAGAAACCAATCTTCCTTAAAATTTGACACGACAATTATTATATATTTGTTTCTGGATATGGTAACAATTATAAAAAACAAATTAAAAATAAAAGAAAATTAAAAAAATTTTTTTTGTTAAGAAGACAAAATATTTTAAACAATTGCAATTGTTTAAACAATTATTACAATTACAATTATATAAATACTTATTGTTTAAACAATTATTACAATTACAATTATATAAACACTTATTGTTTAAACAATTACTACAATTGTATAAACAATATTATTACAATTATTACTGTTATTAACATTATTACAATTGTTTAAACAATTACTACAATTATTTATATATTTATTAAAATTATTAAGTTATTTAATCTAATTAGTCAACAGTCATTACAATTATTTATACTTTTATGACAATTGTTTAAAAAACTTTAACAATTATTTATAATTTCATCACAATTATTTAAACAATTATTTATACTTTTATCACAATTATTTAAACAATTGTTACAATTATTTATCCTTTTATCATAATTACTTAAATAATTATTTATGCTTTTATTACAATTATTTAAACAATTGTTACAATCATTTATACTTTTATCACAATTTTTTAAACAATCATTACAATTATTTATACTTTTATCACAATTATTTAAACAATTGTTACAATTATTACAATTATGTATATATTTATTTAAATTTAAAACAATTAAATATTTGTTGCAATTATTTATAAATTTATTACAAATTAAATAATTAAAATTTGTTAATTAATTACTTAATTAATTTTTTTTTCAATAAATTCTGTGATAAGTGAAAAATAATTGTTTAAACAATTAAAAAAATTCTTTTCTTAAACAATTTAATTTTAATTTTTTAAGAATTAACGTTTCATCGTATTCACATTTAACTATTGTTAAGAAATTAAAAATTTATTAAGTAATTAATTAACAAATTTTAATTATTTAAATAATTGTAATAAATTTATAAATAATTGCAACCAGTGTTTAATATTTCTAAATAAATATATAAATAATTGTAATAAATGTATAAATACTTGTAATAATTGTTTAATAATTGTAACAATTGTTTAAATAATTGTGATAAAAGTATAAATAATTGTAAAAATTGTTTAAATAATTGTGATAAAAGTATAAATAATTGTAAAAATTGTTTAAATAATTGTGAGAAAAGTATAAATAATTGTAATGATTGTTTAAATAATTGTGATAAAATTATAAATAATTGTGATAAAAGTATAAATAATTGCAATAATAATTGTTTAAACAATTGCAATTGTTTAAATTATTTTCTTGTGCAAAAAAATTTTTCTCTTCGTAAAAGAATTTCCTCAAATTTGCTTTCTATCTGCAATAAAAACAGTGCAAGACGATGAACGCTGATAAATTTTGCAATATTTCTAAAGATTAAAACGAAAGATCTAAAGCGAATGAATAAATTGAGAAGAGGAAATAAACGTATGGTTGAAACAATTGTTTAGAAAAGATAGAGATCATAAAAGATTTTCTTAACCAGCCTCAAGAATATAAGTTTGTTCAAGAAACTAACAAATCATATACTAAATTAGCTCACGACCCACTTTATCTCTCTTTCTTTCTCACTCTTTCTCTCTGTATAATATTTATTTTCAATATCTCATAATAATAGAGAGATCAGCATTTATTAGTGAATGGATCGTTTTAAAGATAATAACTATATACACAACAAAAGAGGCTATTATAGTACAAAAAAAATGAGAAAAAAAGAATGCGAATTTTTAATTTCACGCTTCATTGAAAATTGGAATTTTAACAAAAAAAAAAGTGAAAATAAAGAAATTTGTTAATTTATGCAGTTAACTAAATTCTTTGGTTTTATTTTGTTTATTTATATATTAAAAAATTTTTTTTTGATGTATTTTTTTGTATTTCATTTTGGTTTCTATAAATTTTAATTATGAAAACTGAATTTACGTTGTAGGCACAAAATTTTGAATTTTAAAACGAAATTTTAGTGGGTAAACTCTAATTTTTGTTTCTAAAATCAAATTTCGGATTTTTAAATGAAATTTTAGAAATTGAAGCCTAATTTTGATTTCTAAATTCAAATTTTCGTTCTATATAATAAACCAACATATTAGTATAGCTCAACCGAAATTTTGATTTCTAAAATCAAATTTTCGATTTTCCAACTAAATTTATGTTCTTACAATCAAAATTTGAGAATTAAATCCGAATTTTGAAGGTTGAAACCTAATTTCTGTTTCTAAATCAATTTTAGTTATTGAAACTAAATTTTGATTTTAAGGATAAAATTTTAACTATGAAATCCTATTTTTTGTTGT